GTTTTGGAGCGAAGTTGAGCTGTTTTTCGCCTTCCAAACAACACTTCTCTTTTTGCGTCGTGGTCGAAGAGGTCGTTTTTGGAGCGAAGTTGAGCGTTTTTTCTACCTTTTAAAAAATAGCCCCACGAGCCTCCTTGTTCGAAGAGGTCGTTTTGGAGCGAAGTTGAGCCGTTTTTCCGCCTTTCAAAAATAGCCCCACGGGCCTCCTTTCCCTATTATTCTTTGAAAGCTTCCAAGACGTTGGAAAGGTCAGAACGAAGGCTTCAAAGCGTTCGAAGGCAATGTTGAAACTCCTCGGCACCTGCTGTCGCCTTCTTTCGAAGGTGGGAATAACAGTCCATCCTGGAATTGTGCCAATCTTCGAAACCAATGGAATCGCCAAGAACATAGGTGTGAGTTCTTGAAGAAGAGCTATTGGCAAAGATCAGTCAGTGTTGGAGACATGATGGTTTTTGCTTTGGGCAGCAGGTTCGGAGCCGGACTCCAATTGCTGCGCTTTGTTTGTCTTCTGTGTTCTACGGGAAAATTGAATCTTTTGCGTGCATGACGACGGGACAAAAAAAGGGGTTGTCCGTCTTGGAGTCGCTTTTTTTGGTTTTCAGATGAAAGCTAGCCGGGCAGAGTTTCCAGCCTTTGTCCAAGCGCGGAGTTCCAACCAAGGTCTCTCCAGTTCGAGCGTGCTGTTGTTCCGTTCCAATCCAGAGCTTGTTCCAGCGAGAGAAGAGTGCTTTGTTCCAGCCACGATTGTAAGAGAAGTTTCACCTGAAAGGAGACGTTTGCAGGCTGGGCCACAAAAACTGAAGATTCAAGGCCAACAGAGGAACGTTCGTCCTCCAGACCCTCCACAACCCAAAAATCGCAGATTGCAAGTCTTCTGAGCTCGACTCCATGCATAGGAGGATGCCTTATGAAAGGTTGAATCTCAACAAACACTGCACGGAGAACCATCTGGAGAGCCGCCTCCAGTCCGTTTGGTCTGTGGTGAAGACAAAGGCAATCTTGCGGACTCCAATGTCCTTGCTTCTCTGGACCTTCTCTTCAGCAGAGATTGGTCCATTGATTTTTGTGTCAAAGGGAATTTCTTTTTTCCGCTCAATGCTTTTGTCAGATTGTGGCAAGAGGTTGCAAAAGCTTGGAGTTTCCTTGCGTTTCGTGCAACTTCTGTTTCGGAAGAAGAACTCTGTTGTTTCAATTTCTTTTTGTTGGCAAAGAGTTTGCCCTGGCGGCCGCCACACTGGTAGGTGGCATCAGGGGAAACATTTGAACTTCAGGCCGCATGTGCGATTCGTTTTTCCTTTTCGCAGCAAACCTCTCACTTCTGTGACCACAGCGTCTTGTGCGGCAGCAGTTGGTCACTGCGACAGCAAGTCGGTAGGAGCTCCTTTCCCCAATACATTAAACCGGCTGTAACTAGAACGTTACATTGCGACGTCGTTCTCAGGACGCCAGCAGAGTATAGCCTTAGCGCATCGGCTGATAGTCGGGAGTTCCTCTGCCTCGGAGCTTTGGCCTCCCTCGGCTAGCCGCATAGCCGTACAGATCCAACGGTATGCAAGGGGAGTGACATGCTAGAGCAGTGTAAGCTTGAAGAACATCCCAACATGCCTGCACATAGAATGGCTTCCACCGGCGACCAGGCTAAGCCATAAACCTGGCATGTCGGCAGTGCTATGGAGCGGAAGTGAGTCTGCAGGGTTGTTGTAATTTGTTCTACGTCGTCAGATTCCGAAGGTACACTCAAGAATTACAGGTCCTGGAAGTAGCAGCAGAAACTTTCTTCTATCACTTTACATCCACCGTCTCCGTGTGCGCGGAAGAAGGGTGCCCGCGGGAGAATTGCAGCTTCAAGCATTCAGTTCAATCGAATACGGATTGGTTTATTGCTTTATATATGTAGATGAAGCTCTTGAGCTCGGTTTGTGCTGTTATTGCAATTAGCACCGTCATCAGCCATCTCTTGCAAGTCAAATGTATCACAATCATTTCATGATGCAGCAAAAGAAAAACAAACAGGTACGCACATTCGAAGACAACTGCCTGCATGGTGTCCGGCAGAATGGTGATGGATGCGAAAATTGATCAGTGCGGTCATGTTCAAGCTGTATGGAGTTCACTTTGGCGACACCTTCTTTCAATGAGTGTGCTGTTTTGCAAGCTGATCACAACTTGTTGCTTGTAGCCGAAGTTTGCGCCAGAGAAGTTGTCAAAAACGCGTACACGTACGCGTTTGAGGATCAAAGTCCAAAATTCCGGGACGGCATTGCCACTGGATCGGACTCGCCCCCCATGGCGACGGTGACCAAATCCGCAAGCAAGCAATGACCAATGCCGCGTGCAGGTCGTCAAAAATTCGATTTGTGAGACTTGTGTTTCCCACAAGGTATGTTCTGGGGATGACTTTGTCGGGGCTTGTCTGACAGGCGAGAACAGGACAGTGCGTTGTCGATATATTTGATGCTTGTCCTGCTCGATTTTTTGGCTCTGTAGATCTCTTCCGCATCCCTTCCAGGCCGATGCAGCGAATCTCAAGACTTGCTCTTCTGCCCTTAAACATGCAAGCAGGTTGGGTATCGCCTTAGTGCTGGGTCTATGGCAACGGAGGACACCAAGATTTGCACCATAGTCACAAGTTGATTGATTTGTCCATTCCCCGTTTACCATGTATTGTCAACCCATATAATGCCACTCGACTCCGGTGAGAGGTTTTATTCCAGCATGGGCATGTGCACCACAATGCAATTGATGCAGTTGTTTCCTGTTCCAACCAGCAAACAACCCCAGCTGCTGCAACGAACCACTTCTGCTCCGTGGAAAGTGTTACATCGAAAAGCTACATCGAAGGTTGGCGCTGGGAAGACACAAACTCCATGAGTCATTCCAGGAGCCACGTGATGAAGACGAGGATGTCGAAGGTGACCAGGCTGTATCGACCTTGGCTGTTGCTTGGTTTGGCAGCCAAGTGAGCGTCCTGAAAAATGCTGCTCTGTTGTCCTTGGCATTCTTGAGGACGGCACCCTGGATCCAGAGCTGCTGGCTGCATGTATGAGGCCAGATCCGAGCATGTGCGACGAAGTAAGCGACGTAAATGTTGGTGCGGATTCATTGTTTTCGTCCAAAACGTCTCAGTATTCTTACGCAAAGATTCTCAAAGAAACACCATGTCCGGCACTTGCAGCACGGAGTCCACCACCGCATGTGCTTTCATGGCGAACATTCGTGGTTACCCCGTCTTGGACAGCGCTGTTGCAAACGAGTTCACATTCATGCTATGCTAGAAGTGTCAGCATAGTCAGATCATCCCTCGACCAGCCTTGGCTTTTGTGGCAGGAATGACACTGAAGCGGCTAAGCGATTGATCGAGCAGGCGCATGTAAGACATCACGGCCGCGCAATAGCATGCACCTCTCTCTGGCGTCAGGGAGCGAATCCCTGCTGCGAAGACCAGCGGCAGTGGCTCGATGCGATCATGCCAAGAGCGTCGGCCACGAGAGTGCAGACGGCATGTTAAAAGGTGGAGCCCACTGATCTGGGCTGCCTCGCACGGCAACGAGGAAAGACGCTACAAAGCCTGTGACAAGAGCCTCTTAAGCCGCTCCTGGTTGCCTGTGCATTTCAGGACCTCACCAGACTACTGATCAAACACAATGCCGCGGAGGCAAGAGCTGTCGCCTTGACACTCTCTGCTGCAGCGTTTATTGGAGTAATTAAACCGAAAGATTTTGTATCTCGAGGGCGTTCACTGTCACCCGCATGAAAAAATGCATGTCTGCGTCTGGGGTCCATGTACCAGAATTTGCTTGAAGACTTTTTCTCTGTGACTCGCAGCCTCAGTTCGTGCCGTGCAGGTGTACAAATCTGATGAGACAAAGGCTGCGAAATGCGGCGACATGCAGTTGTGCGTGTACTGTGCGTGTTTGTCGCTTTCTGGTGGTGCTAGCAGGTGCGCAAGAAGCACAGCCCTCTTCATTGGGCGGCCTTTAAGGGTCATCTCAAGGCTGGAGCAGTTGGAACTGCTGGGAGGTCGATGTCGGAATGGTTGCGATGCTTGGAGCCGTGGTTCAGACACAACATGCCAACATGCAGTGATTCGTCGTGTTCTCCATGCAGTAGCTGTATCGCGCAGTGTTTCTGCAGCATGTGCTTTCACTTCCCGCATGATCATGTACAGGTCCAGTGACTGAAACCTCAAGCCTGGGCATCAACCATGTTCCCCTTCACAAACCAGGGCGTGGAAGCCCGTGAATCTCGAAGATGCAGCTTGTCAGCTCTGTCAATGCCTGTCCCACCACCTGGCAATGGTGCAGCCTTTGTGGACCACTACGAGGACACAACAGAGCGCTTGATTGCACTTAGGGGGGTGCAATACAACACAGCTTGCAGGTCCTGGGATGCACACCAGAGTCATCTCCATCGGAGCTCAAGAGGGTGCGTTGCCAAGCCAAGTTTTTGCCGAAAAGTCGGTTCCACACCGCACTCGGTGAGCCAGGCTTACCACGAGAAGCTTCGTGAGTTTCACCCCGACAAGCGGCCTGAGAGCAGGGGTGAAACTGGTGGACGGGACGGGTCCCGAGACTTCTGAAAGTGCCGGATATTGGTGGCCTGCAGCTACAGCTGCAGGCACCGCGTCTGCAAGTTGCGACCGTTCTGAGGTGACGCAGGCCGTGCTGGATGCCTGGACCGTGCTACAGGCACTTGGCCGGAGGGACACACCTGGTTCTGCCAGCACAGAATTTACTCTCCAGGACGCTGAGAAGCGCAGGGCTTATGACATCATTTGGACAAAGATGAGGAGTTGCCTCGGGCCTTTCACGACAGCACCGTTCCGAAATGCATAGAGCCAACATCAAACATTGAGGGAGTAGGTTCACATGCACATTCGTCTCAGACATCCCATAAGTTGCGGCTGGAAGCTTTCTGGTCGGAACGAGCGGCCATGAATATTTCACAGTCGCGAAGTTAGCAATTGGCCAAGAGCCTTGGGGGTATGGGGATCAGCATCCCAAACTCTCGAAAGCTCCCAGGAGGTGTGGATGCACGTAGTTCGATAGAAAGGGACATGCTCAAGCATTTTCGCTTTCAACTGGCGCGGACAACAGATTCGCAGAGTGTGTCGGGGGTTGGTTGTCAGGAGCAAGGTCCATGCGCACAGCACGACACACGGCAGAGCTGTCACCAATCCGAACGGCCAGACACTTACAATTATCACAACCACACAGCAGCAGCGTCCTCCGCCCGATAAAGATTCTACCATCGCTGAGCGTGTTCACAAAATCTCGCACTGAATATCTCCGTTAATTGGTCACTTTGGCTTTTTGCTGAGTGGGAATGAAATGCAGCCAGCATCAGTCTGTAGCGTCTGATCAAATTGATGTAGCTGTGGTAGACCCACGCATGTCCGAGTTTAACTTTCACATTAGACTGAAGAATCGCCGAAAGGAGAGAGCTGTCTGCAGCAGAGTTCGCGGAGGCCGATTGTGCAGAGTCAAATTGCGACAGTTGCGTGCTGACGAGACCTGTGCTTTTGTCTGCATTAGTATCTTGCAAGAGGGTGTGTGTGTGTGTGACTCTGCATGCATTCATATAAAGTTGAGTGTGCCGGCTCTGGAGCATGCGGCATGAGCCTTGGCCCGTGGGTTCGAGCATTCGCCTGATACAACCGATCCCCAGTATGAACTGTTGGTTACGGGAGCCCACTGGGTCCAAAAGTGCCTGCAAGATTATTCTCAAGGCTAAGACCAAGGTGAACTGCAGCTGCATAGGGGTCCGTTGTTGCCTGGAATTCCTGCCCTAATCAAAGCTAGCCTTCTCCCTCTCCCTCTCCCTCTCCCTCCCCCTCTCCCTCCCCCTCTCCCTCCCCCTCCTTCCCCCCTCTCCCTCCCTCTCGGATTGTGGTAGCAGAGGTCAACAGGGCATCAGAAAAAAATAGAATTTGCAGGGTCATGTTTTGCGGCAAGCCACGGAATACCACGGCAAAACACGATTCTGGAAATTGTAACATTCTCAATAGCCTGCTGTAGCCCACGACCAGGAGATCCTGCGGCCTCCAGAGAAGGGCAGACCGAGAACAAGAAAGGGCGTGCCACACACCAGAGACAAGGTGGCACAGCCGCGCCTGCTGCGAAAGAAAACTCCTTTCCAAAAACCGGAGTGAGGTGTATTGTCGATTCACTTCTTAGCGAACGAAGCTGTCTCTTCGCGACCTCGCGAAAATGTACAAAAGGCTTCGTGCGGAGGCGCTCGCAGAGCACCAGGGACATGTGGCGCTTCCACGACATTCCACGGCTGTCCAACCAACACCCGGTGGCGGGTTGTGCAAAACGGAAAGTCAGATGGGTCACTCGAGCAACCCCTAGCCCAGCACCAAGTTTACCAGAAATGACTGTGGCTTGGTGAGGCTCGGCGAAGGGAGGGCAACGAGCTATACAAAGAAGCTCAGGCAACCTCGCAGCTTCACGATGTGCATGGCGTCAGACACAAGCGCCGAGGCGCTGTCCAAAATGTCTGGACCTGACAGCTCGAGCCTCTCAAGAGCGGTGCTTCCCAAAGCAGCTTCGTTGCTGCTGGCATCTGCAGTGACCCGCTGTGTGGAATCGAGGTCTGTCGGCAGCAACAGCGGCCTTGACCAAGTACCAGGTGCCCAAGTTCAAGTCTTCCACGTCGCAGCATGTGCATCGGATGTGTGTCAAATGGTCTGCAGGCAGCCATTGACAGATACTCTGAAGGCATTGCTTTGGCTCCTGAGGATGGGAGAATGCATCATCAGTTGAGCAACAAAGTCTTGTGCCGTGGCAGGATCACCGTCTACGCAGCAACCGTGCGTTGTGTTACAGTGCACTGAAGGCCCGTGAATGTTTCGCCAAAGGATGTCGAACGTTGTTTGTTCTTCGAGCAGAACTATGTTGTCGTGACGAGATCCATCCCGCGAAGAGAGTCCCTCCTTCCAATCTATAGCCGTGTTCGGACATGTGGTAGCCGGAGCAAACCGATTGCATGTTCCGGAGTGATCCGGAATGTAAGACAAGGCCACACTAAACGAGTCGTGAGTGCAAGCTTGAAGCCTTCGGATCTCCGGTAGACGGTATTTCTCATGAATCATCGCCTCGTTCTACGATGTGAAAGGCTGACAGCAGAATCTTAACTGTCTCTCTGTTCAGGCTGCAATGACTTTAGCTCTCACATTCATGTCGAAATCCCTTGCCACGGCAATGTCCTCGCACGGCTTGATGCAAGATCGAGACTAGGAGCAGTTCAAGCCTTTGTAACCTTTTCACGATTGCGGCTTTCGCTAGATAGTCCGTCTCCTTGTTGGTCATTTGCACGAAGAGTCTTTGCAAAATCGGCTGCAGAATGAAGGAGGTACAGTAGCAATAAGAACATATGAATGGATTGAATGCCTCAGAGAGAAGCCGCAATTTTGCATGTGTGCTGAGTCGGAGACGTCATTTAAGGACAAGCCAAGTAGCTAGAAAGACAAGTGGCCCTCAGGAGCTGGGATTGCCATCCGTAGCGACTTTCAACTCGATTGGACTCAAAAGACGCACAAAAGCCAGACAGCATCTCCGAAAAGTAAGCCGTGCCTGCTTTGGAATCCCACAGCTTAGGGAAGAGGAAGCATGAAGATGAGCAGCACTCGTAGCCCAGTGACGAATTTGTGACTTCTCCTCGCTTACTGACACCACCCCCCCACCCATGCATTTCAATTTCGAGGTCGGAACTTCAACTTGGAAGCTTAGGCTTTGTGCTGTCAATGTCGCTAGTGCAGATGCAGAAGGATTCCGAACGGGGAGGAATGACATAGTGACATAGTCTACCTGTTAAACAGTTAACTCATGAGCTGCGATTGCATCGCTTGCCAGGATTGGGCAAAATGCAGAGAGGCGGGGCCGGCCCCCCTTCTTTTCTGGAGGACTGCCGTTTCGCTTAAGAAGGACGCGGTGATTGTGGTGGAGCTGAAAGCGGACTTCATGAAGGGCCCGGGCCTGACACCGGGACCAGAGGGAGGCGAAGGAGAGGCGAAGGAAGAGGAGCCCAGGTGGGCTCCTCCCAGTTTTTTCTGCTCTGCTTCGTGTGATTTGCAAGGATGGTTCCTGCTTGCCAAAGCGCTTTGGAAAGAGGGAAACGCTGTCCTGGCGCTGACCTCAAGGGTTTGGTGCAGCTCATATTGCGGAACTTCTGCCAGAGGCGCAACGACAGCTCGACACGGCTTTGCAGGTGGCGTATCGCAGTTTCAGCAAAGCTGTGCGCTGCATAGGCAGTACGACCTGCAGGCTTTGCCAGGTTGCGCCGAATTGTGTTGAGCTCAGATCAGGCATGATAGTTGAAGAAGGAGCGGGAAGTTTGCCCAAGGCTTGCTTTGCAGGACGAGATGGCGGCGGACGTTCAGGCGCGATAGTGATGTGAATCGAAAAAAGGAGCTTTCAGGTGCCGTTGCAAGCTGCAAGCAGGCAGCAGCTGGCGGCGATCTGCTGCCACCAGTCCAGCGCTCCAGCAAACAACTCAGAGCAAAATGGATCACAAGCGCAATCGTATTTGAGCTGATGCAGGTTGTGTTGAAATGCCCTTTCTTGCAAAGTGCACCTTCTCTGTCTGTCCTGAGGAAGTAGCCGAAGTGTCTCGCCTGCTTGCACGCCGGTACAAGGCGGGATGATGTGCGAGGGCAATTTCAATTTCTATTCTGTCAGGGTAGCCATAAGCTTGTCAGAAGCCGCAGTTATGACAGGCGGTTAAGATATGCAGTAGGCAATAAGCGTGGGGATCGTTTCTGCAGCCAGTCGTTCGAAGGATGGTGAAGTCAATTCCAGTGGCATCTTGACCTGCATACAGGAACAGATTTTGCACCCACGAGCAGAACTACCACGTTCGTGCACCGAGAAGCAAGCACCTGCTCCGCGTCTAAATGCTCGCCTCGTCAAACCCTGCAGAGGGATGCAATCAGAATGTTGGGTCTATGAATACTGTTCGGTATGCTGCTCAGTCGTGATTGAATGAGCAGGCAACTCCAGATCAAACTCTCGCGTAGCCACTCCGCCTCCTGTACGTGGAGCCTCCAAGTCGCAGGGGCCTCTGTTGACGTCGGAACACTGTTGACAACCGGCTGATTATTGTTGCGTCCTTCGGTAATTTCTGAAGGTCGACCAGTGCGAGTGCACGGCACCGATCTTCGTCTCGCCCACGCCACCGGAGTGCGAGAATCAGTCGGTGAAAGCCTAACTCAGAGAGCTGAGGAAGTTGAAGCTTGTGAGGCACAGATTGGGAGGAGACCGCGAAGTTTGGTGAGGATGCCGAGAGGCGGACGCCAGTCACGAGGGGCCGACCTTTGCTTTTGGAATTCCCAGAAAAGGACGGCTCATTTTGGCGACTTCGACGTCTCGCACTCTGCCTATTCACAGTCCGGTCCCGCCGAGCGCTTGGGTGCAAGATGGTGCAAGCAGGTGCCAGAAGTGCAAGTCGCCGCAAGAGACATTGCAGGGCCGCTCCACCAGCCCGATTCGACCGCCCGGGCCGCCCGAGTCTGAGGGGCCGTGGAAAGCGGGGGGGAACGTTCTCGCAAAGCTTCTGGCCGAGGCCTCCGGCTCCACCCGGAGCCGGGGCACCGGCAGCGCAGATCGCTCAGCAACGCCTAGCTGGCCGGCGCCTCTGAGTGGCTTTGCCCAGGCCACCGCCGCCTCCGCCCCGTGACGCCTCTCACGGACGCACAAAGGGGTCCTCCCTCGCTGGCATGGTTCCGGGTCTCAGACATTTTGCTTTGTGTGACGCAACGGTTCTTTGTATTTCGTGGTCTTGCTATAGCTGATAAAGCTAAGCTGGTCAAAGGCGGCCTCCAGTCGGCTTGGCGTTCCTGGAGGTTGATTCCCAGTGCCGTTTCATGGGTTCGTTGTACAGACGTTTCTACATCCCACGGCCAAGGCTTCACCGATAGAAAGCTGCCTCAAGCCGCTGTTGCAAACTAGGCATCTTCTTGCTCGTTTGTTTGGCTTGTATCGAGTTGGACTGAACAATTGTGTGATACCGCAGTGTTCTGCTGTTTGCTGAACTCAGAATCATATTGCGGCTCACTGCTGCACAAAGCAAATGCTCCGATCCTGCGATGAAGTGCAAAGCGCTTTCGCAGCAACTTTTCACAAGAAGGTTATCCCATACTACTCCCCTAGCAGCACATGGGCGAAATCTTCGCAGGTAGTGCTGGACACAGGTGTGTCATGCGAGAATGGGCAGGTGACGAAATGCAGCCGTCTGCAGTGTCTCCCGCATCCATCGCAGCAGCTGCAGCTGCAGCACCAACTCCGAACACGGGAGGTCTTGTGGCTGCTGATGGCGCCACCGCAAAACCTGTCGCATCACGAACGGGACCTGCCGCATCCGCAACAGGCGAGGTATTTAGCAGAAGTTTCTCAATGTCTATCGGTATCCAGGACGCCATAGGCAACACGCCGCTACATCAGGCAGCAGCAGGAGGAAATCTGGAGCTGCAGCCTGAATCGCTGTTTCCACTTTGCTCAGCATCACGCGAAAGCGGCGTCTACGCAATGCCACGGACTCATTGAGGTGTGCGAAATGCCTCATGGCACAGGCCGGCGTCTTCTGACTTCTTCAGCAGGATGACCCCATGCCCTTCAATGCACTTCAGGGTTGCGACGTCCTCGCCAAGAATGACCGAGGGCATACCCCCTTTGCGTTGTGCACAGATCCAGACGTGCGCCCAACAAGACCACCAGTCTAATGTGTGTCTTTGTCCACGGCAGCTCGGCACCGCAGCACTCCCGGTGCCCTGGCCGTCACATCGAAAGCTCTTGCATGAACAGAAATCAATATGCCAGGTACAGCAGCTTTTGCAGAATGCGATGAATGCCACAGCCTGCAAGGCAGCATGGAGTGATTGGACAGTGCTTGTCTGATTTGGAATGAAAATTCTGACTATGTATTTTTAGTCGGCATTTGACACTTGACTCTTGTCCGAGAGTGTACTTTACTGCAGATGATTCATCTCAGTCCGGTTCAGCACAGGCAATCTTCAGTATGCGTTTTTTGGATGGTAGATTTGCAACAAGCTGTTCGTTTCAGTCAGAGGTACTTGCACTCTGCCACACCATGCCACGGCCAAATCAAAGCAAACTTCTTCACATGCTTTGCTTAAGGGGATTTCATCTAAGAATCTCCGGTCCGCTCCGGTGTTCTGTACTTCCAGCCATGACATTGCCAATGCTCCTTAAATCCGCAGACACTCGAATGCCTTCTCGTCTCACGCATTGTGAGTGGCTGACGATGTCGTTGGATCTTCGACACGGTCGAAGATTCACTTGTCTTTTGCTTGGCCCCTCTTCGGACGCAGCAGGAATGGGCGATCTGTTGGCGTCTTTGCAATCTTTTTGTCTATCTTGGATGTCATAATGGCCGTTTAGAGTCATGATCAATCTGGTCCGGAATCCTGTTGTTTCCGCTCATCCGCCTGAGCATGCCTGAACCAATTGACAAACGTTGTTGTTGAGATGCATGTCAGCGAGAAACCGGGAGGGGATGTCCTTGCGGGCGTCGAACAGCAACCACCAGCTTGTGTGCAGAGGCTTCTGGGAAGCAGTTTTCTTCCACGGTGCTGAGATACTTGTGCTCATGGTCCATCGCCCAGAAACCTACCACATCGGAAGCACGACGGCGTCTTATCAGCCCCCCAGTGAACAAAGGTCTTTGGATGTGTTCTGCGAGAAGGAGATCACACAGACGTTTGTCGAGAACTCAGAAAGTGATTTTGCGAAAGATTCCCTGGCAATCTTCGTGGCCTGGCTCTCACCTCGAAGCGAGGTTTTCGAGCACCCCGAAGCAACCGAGAAGGCAGGCGAAGCTTTTGTGTCCTCATCAGTGGACTGTTGGCTCGTCGAAAGGAGAAACCTGTAACCTGGTGCAATGAGGCGAGGACTGCCTAGCTGGCCTAGCTCGGCTGATCTCATGAGCCCGGGAACATGCGATTTGCTCCTCTTCGCAAGGTCAGAACGACCATCCAGGAGCTGGAGCATCAGCTAACCAATGCGTCTCGACATGAGTGCAAAAGACAATAGGACGACATGTGGTGAAGCTGGTAACAGCCAGGCTATGCACCTTAATCAGCTCGAGACGGTCACTGCCGCATTGGAAGCTGCTGCTGCATCTCCGCCATGTTGCAAGGGCTGCCCCTGCAGGGCCCAGTCACTGAGCCGCTTTCTTGTCGTGACTTGACAGGACAAGCCTGTCGATTGCAAGCTGGTGCACCAGTGTAACCAGCTGAAGGACACACTAGACTTCAATGAGAGCTGTGCAGTGCAATTGTGGCGATGCACGGCCAAAACCTGGAGGAGAAGCTTGAGTCGGAAATACAGCTAGGGAAAGCGATGCAGGTGACAGCTGCGAGCTTATCCCGTGCTGCTGTCGCAGAGGGAATCTGTGTATGTTTCTGGTCACCCTTGTTTGTTGAGCTGTAGCGTGCTAAGATAAGGCCGCTCAGGCTGCGATCTAGAAGCTTCAATCAGCCTTGTGGCACATGCTGCCATAACTTCATTCACTTGTCCATGGATCGATGGGCTTCAATCTTTCACAAGTGGTGTCCCCCGCTCCACGTCTCTTGCACTCCCACCGGCCTCGCCTTGGTCCCTGCCACTGGACCCTGTGCCAAGAGCAACCTGTCGGGCAACATGATGTGCTTGCGAAAGGAATTTCAGGTGCCTGTCTTCTTACGTTTCTGTGAGCGCTGAGACCATCACCGACTTGGACGAGTTTGACAGCGTGCACGATGCGTTGAGCAAGGCTTTACTTCGTTCTTGTTTGTGCTATGTGACGCTATTTCCGTTGTGTGATCTATCTGCAACGCTAGAGAGTTTCTGGAGGCCATTGACGATGCAGTCGCAAAGAAAGCGGACCCAGTGCGAGTTCTGGCCTAAGCACCGGACAAGGCTCGCATGGTCTGTCTGGCCGCACTATGGCATTATGGTTGCTCAGGTCCAAGCTGCAAAAACCTTGCGGCGGAAGCTTCTGGCAGAAGTACGGTCCCCTGTTCCCGTGACGTTCAAACGTATCAACTTTTTAGAAGTTTTGTCCGCCACACATTTTGTTTCATTGACATTGAGCTTTTGGGCTTCGTGTCATCTGTGCATTCGAACTCTGCGCTCGGAGAAGTGGAATAGTTCTCCGCATAAGAAGTTGGATTAAACTGCTTGACAGATGCCGCAAGCAGCGAAACCAAGAGACACTCGGAACCGTCATGTGCATGTGGCCATACGATGTGACCCTTCGTTGTCACATCTTCTGTTGCACTAGCGAGGAATGACATTCTTTTCGTAGTCAAATCATGTCGCTTCGGGTACAGAGCACAAGCTACATACCAGAAAGGCTTGGCCGTAATCGCTGAGAAAACATCGTTGCAGTAGCAGACGAGCGTCGGTGAACATCTCCTGGCGGAGTAGCAAGAAACATAAAAACCATAGCTGAACCTGAACGTAGCATTACCAAGTGCAAGGGGAGGGGAGGCGATGGGAAAGGGCAGCAGACTCTTTCAATGCCTGAGGAACTTCGGAGAGACGGTTGCCTCTCTCATTGTGTTCATGCTTGTTTTCGAGCGCTCTCTCTCTCTCTCCCTCGCTCTCTCGCGCTCTCTCTCGCTCTTTGTCGCTCTCTCTCTCTCCCTTGCTCTCTCGCGCTCTCTCTCGCTCTTTGTCTCTCTCTCTCTCTCTCTCTCTCTCTCTCTCTCTCTCTCACTGTCTCCCTCC